CCCGTGCATCCTTTTAACCTGGGTAAGAGGTTGCAACGTGACCGATGCTTTGAGTGACTTACCCCATCCAAAACCCAAAGGTTTCCCCCGTTTCCATTATTCCTTTTTCCCCAGACCCCATTTTCCAGTGTGTCCGGGGCGTTGCAGCAAGCCCCGCCATGATAATACTCACAAGGGCAATAGTTTCCTTTAGAAGAACTGATACCAGGCCAGTTCCAAGGAGTTGGAGATTAACGATGTTAGTTTCCTCCATCCCCTCGCCCCCCACCCCCGACTCCTCCCGTGAGCAGGTATAGTCTCTCCTGTCTCTGGGTTCCTGTCCCTACGGTTTGCTGCAACGCCTCACAGAAACTCATGAAACGTGAAGGAACCGTCTCATGTGGTTGGGTGGTTGTAGTTAGGAACCACGGAGTTGGCTCCGATCCACAGCCACCCTGTGCGCAACAGCCCCGCCCTGCACCTCACAGTTGTTTGTGTGCCCGAGTCCATTGTTGCAACCATAGTGTCAGTCCATCTGGTGGAGGGCCTTCCTCTCCTGTGCTGCCCCTCCTCTTTACCAAGCATGATGTCCTTCTCCAGGGACTGCTCTCTCCTGACATGTCCAGCGTATGTAAAGTGCTCCAAGGAGCGCTCTTGTAGATTTCCATGACGGATTGATTTGTCCTTTCAGCACTCCATGGTACGTTCACTATTCTTCCCCAGCTCCACAATTCAAATGAATGGACCTTTCTTTGACCTTCCTTAGTCAATGTCTAACTTTCACATGCTTATGAGGCTTGAGTCAGGCACACCTTAGTCCTCAAAGTAGCACCCTTGCTTTTCAATACTCTAAAGAGGTCTTGTGCACTAGACTTACCTAATGCAACTCATCTTTTGATCTCCTGACTGCTGCTTCCATGAGCATTGATTATGGAGCCAAGCAAGACAAAATCCTTGACAATTTCAACCGTTTCTCCATTTATCATGAAGTTACCTATTGGTCTATTTGTGAGGATTTAGTCTTCTTTACAGTAAGTTGAAATCCATACTGAAGGCTGCAATCCTTAATCTTCATCAGCAAGTGGTTCAAGTCCTCCTCACGTTCAGCAAGCAAGGTTGTGTCATCTGCAGATCGCAGGTTGTTAATAAGCCTCCTTACGATCCTGGTGCCACATTCTTCTTCTTATAAGCCAGCATCTCTGGTGAATTGCTCGGCATATAGACTGAACAAGTCTGGTGAGAGGATAAAACCCTGACACACATCTTTCCTGATTTTAAACCATGCAGCATTCCCTTGTTCTTTTTGCACAACTGCCTTTTGAACCATGCACAGTTCCTCATGTGCACAACAAAGTGCTTTGGAATTCCCATTCTTCTTACAGATATCCATAGTTTGGTTTGATAAAGAAAATCAAAGGCCTCGGCATAGTCTATAAAACACAAGTCAACGTCTTTCTGGTATTCTCTGCTTTGAGCCAAGCAGCTTTCTTCCAAATTTCCTGGCACGGACCAAGTGGTTGTGGGTGCCGTTTAGTCCCCAATCTGCAGGTCTTGCAGAATCGAGCCAAATGCAGGGTCCAGAGCCAGAACTCCAAAGCGTCTGAAGTCAAAGCCGGTGTTTTGTTTCTGCCAATGCAAGGGCAGGCCTTGATGGAGGAGCGGTTTTATCTTTCAGCCGGCCCTCTCCCCATGGACAACACAGAGGGTGACTGAAGTCACACCCTCCAGTAAAGGTACATCCCACCCTAGTCCTGCGACAGAGGATGGCCCTCCACAATGGGAAGGGCCTAACCCTGCATCCCATGCAAACAGATCTCCCTCCAGCACCGGTCGTGAGCACCAGCCCGCAGGCTGGGCTCTGCAGCACCTCCCAGGATGGAGGGCGGGCATGACGATGATGAGAGAGGGCCACATGCCGGAATGTGCTCCAGCTCCCTGCGCAGGGTCTCATTTCAAATGTGGGTCATCAAGGCATTCAGAACGAGTAGCGTGCAGTAAATGAGAATGCGGGCACGTTGTAACTAATGTCATGGAACAATTGTAAAAATTGTCAAGTGGGCACCTGACCCACTCTGGGAACTTGCAGCCAAGGCTCAGAATATGACTTAATCATCCATTTCAGTGACTACTTGGAGTTAGTACCAATCACGTTCCAGCTGATGGCAGCAATTTTATTCAACTCTCCCACCCATGTGGCTTGTCCTTGTGGGCTTGCCCCATTCTCTTCATCCGGGGATTTTTTTTTTTTTTCTGGTCGCAGTAGAGCTGGAGTGAGGCTGGTTTCATATATAGTTTGGAGACACAGCTGAGAAGAAAGGCCTTTCTTTGAAATTGGGGTTGCTCTCAGCAGAATTCTTAGGGCTTCCAAGGAGGTTTGACTAAGGAGATTGAGGTGTCTATGGCTTAAGGAGGAAGATTATTGACTTTGGCAATAAGTTTAGGAAGCACTTGTCTTCAGAGGACAGTCACCCATGGGCCTTTCTTTTAAATTGTCCTCCTGTGGTCATGGTGGTGATCCAGCCCGGTCGCATTTTCCCGGTTTAAAGTTGGGACAGCTCTGACTAGTAGTGATCCAATCCAGGTCACTAGTCCACAGCCGACTACGGAACAGAACCTGGGGAGGCGCTGAGCAGAGCCACCACCAGCTGCGTTGAATTTGTTCAGGAGGACAGAGAGCATCTGTGTGTTTCAGAATTATAAAAGCATCAGGGAGCCCCGGTGGCATAATGGTTACGAGTTGGGCTGCTTACTGCAAGGTCAGCTGTTCGAACCCACCAGTGGCTCCGTTGGAGACAGAAGGTGTTTTCTACTCCCATAAGGAGTTACCATCTCGGTAACCCACAGGGGCAGTCGGACCCTGTCCTATAAGGTTGCTATGAGTTGGTACTGACTCGGTGGCAGTGAACTGACTTTCAGTACTCTCCTGGGACCATAGCAGATTGTCCCGTTCTGTTGAAATTGGGGAGTTTGGGGGAAGGAATGCCGTCCCTCCTGCCAGCCCGCTCCCAGGAGCCTCACCTCTCCTTACAACAGAGCCCTGTAACCAATTGCCTTTGAAGCCCTGCTATCTGGGAGACTTATCAGGGCTTTGGCCTTGAAAGGAATGTTGCCTCATCTTCATGTTGGTTCAACACATGTGTGAAGGCGGCTCCTCTGTGCTGTGCCAGCTGGCCCACAGCGCACTCCCTCGACTTGTTCCCAGTCTTCAGCCCCGGCTTGGCTGAGGCGTTGTGCTGGTGTGCTGATTTCACGTAGACGCATACCTATTTTTACAGGGGATGAAAAAGAGTCGAGGAGTCGATGGGAAAAAACTTGGCCCTCTGAAGCTGGCTGCCCTGAACGGACTCTCTCTGTCTCGCCTGCCTTTACCTGATGAAGGAAAGGAAGTGCCTTCCCGAGCCACCAATGATGAAAGGGTACGTATGCACGCCCCTTGGGGCGTCTTGTCTACTCTGAACGGCCAGCCACTTACTGCCAGGGTCCTCTCGTGGGCTGTCAGTCGCTTTCCTCACCTGGCTGTCTAATGGAGGACTTTGTCATGCATGGGCCTTTACAGCGAAGGCCTTTCTAGGACACTCGAGGCTGAGAATGTTGGCTCCCTGGCTTGCCTGGGAATGCTGCCCTGTGTCCTTCTCCCAGTCATTTGGGGTGGGCTCTCTTGCTTTTTGATGGTTTGCACGTTTGACGTTGTCTACAAGTGCACAAAAGCATACCTAGAAAAGGCAGTGGGAATGGACTCTTCTCGTCCATGTGATCCCAAGAGTAAGCAGTTCCTAAACTTTTGAACACTTCCTTCCAGCCTGAGATGGGTGTGTGGTGCGGTTTGATTGTGTTGCAATGAGCATCATCAGTGGAGCACACTGAGCGAAAATGAATGTGTTCACAGCTGGAGCCCAGAGCTGCTTTCTGAGATTTGTCCCCGTGCTCAGTGTTTTCGTATGCAGCCTGCGTATCCCAACGTCAAAGCATGTATTCCTAGAGATTGGAAGTGATTGTCCCCCCACCCCGAGGATTGCTGTGCCCCCGGCTGTTCTATATCTCAGGGGTCCCGAGGTGCGAGAGGGGTTCAACAGACAGCTCGCGGCCAACTGTGGGCTCTAAGCAGAAGTTTCCTGTATGTTTCTCACCCTGAAGATGCTGCCCTGGCCCTTATCACTCTGCTCGTTCATGGTTTCTGGAAGTTTCAGCATCGGCTTTTGGTTTCACCCTGAAGGTTCAGTATCAGCCGGGTGCTAGACCTGACACCAAAAGTGAGGTTTCAGCCCAACGTGTGGTAACTCGCCTCACAGTATCTCACGTGTTGTGTCTTTCAGTGCAAAATTCTGGAACAGCGGTTAGAACAGGGTATGGTGTTCACAGAATATGAAAGAATTCTTAAGAAACGGCTAGTTGACGGGGACTGTTTGACAGCAAGGCTCCCTGAGAATGCGGAAAGAAATCGGTTCCAAGATGTCCTTCCTTACGACAGTGCCAGAGTGGAGCTGGTCCCAACTAAAGAAAACAATACCGGATACATCAATGCGTCGCATATTAAGGTGAGAGTGATGTTTAGGCTCGTAAGCAACACGTGCCGGGTCGAGCTAAGTTACCAGGATGTAACAATTGTGTTTGTATATTCTAAATAGACTCCAGGTTTGAACCAGCTTGGTTCCGCCAGCCGCAGAAATGGCACGGTGGCTATATCTGACCTTAGTGGGGAAGGAGAACGGGACTCCCTCTCTGTTCCTGGATGATTCCCATGGGGCAGAGGTCAGACCTCCCTCCAGCCTTCCTTCTGCTATGAGGACATCAGTCAATCCCCCATGGCACTCTGCTGCTCTGTTGAGTTCCAGAATCCCTTGCGCTGGCCACTCGAAACTCTCGAACAGCACTCATGAGTATGGGGACCTACTAGGGAATGTACCAGGTTACAAGCTGGCAAGGATGCAGCGCTTTCGTCTGCCACATCTCTCAACCACGTTGGCAGGCACGTCTCTCTCTAGCCTTTGCCTCCAGCCACATGGTCCCTTGCCCTTGCCCTGCTCAGGCACATGTTACAAAGCTCCTATAGCACTAAGCAATGCCCAGAGAGCACCTCACTGAGCACACCAGCCTTATATCCAAAGGCACACATCTTTACTCGCTCTGTGGGCAGGGAAGCCACCCTTCCATCTCATGGTCTCGCCACAGCTCCTCTGCTCTGACGCATGGTGTCAGTCTTGTGGCTTCCACTGTCCCTGCCACTTCAGACAGGAATCTCACGTGGGCCTCCTCTTCCTACATCAGAGATGGCTCACTTTCATGCCCAGTGGACTGACAAAATCAGCCGATCCCTGAGTTAGAGTCCCGCACACCTGATTCACTTGTTCCCACCAGTGGCTTGGTGGGAGTTACAGAAGTTGTGGCTAGAAGAGCCATGGCCAGCAATCCCCCATCCCCACACCAACTCTGATTTCAGCCGGGAATCCTTGCCCTAGAGCTGGCCAAGAAGCGTTTATCAGGCCAGGCTGGAGCCGGCATGTCCGCCTTCCACGTGGGGACCCCTGTGCCCTGTGCCAGTCCTGGGCCCAGGGACTGCTCGCTTGCCTGGGTTGGGCATGCTGCCTTTCCCAGTCTGGAGAGCTCTGCTGTGGCTCATGGTTCTCTCGGGAGCAGGCATTGCTAGGCTTCCCTCCCCATCTACTTGGGTGCGTTTGCCCAGACCCAAAGTGCCCACTGTTGGAGGTGCCCACCAGAAGCTGTTGCTTCCAACGGTGCCCCCTGCTCTTTGTGCACACTCCCCTCCGTCATCTGAAAACACATGGTGCTTAGAAGAGGTCTTTTCCATAAGCAGTGAAATGCCTTTCATTAGGGTGAAGCCATGCAGGTGGGAAAAGGTGATGATTCCCGGCAGGTGGTTGTGGGAAGCCAGGGGCCGCTCCTTGCTCCTGGTGAGAGTTTCTAGGATCCCGTGTTGCGTTTCCTTCCCTTTTCTCCTGCAGAGGCAGTGCGTGCTGTGGCAAAGGGACAGTTTGACCTGGCACTGGGCAAAGGCTTGCCGGCTGTTGGTGCATGTTGTTACTCCCTGCTGTTCTCTGGGGATCTAGACTCACACTACTTTGTTTTAATTTAGAAATGATTTCTTCCAAAAACAACTTTTTTTTGCTAAGTGTTCCCTGTCTCTAATGATGGGGGCTGGTTCTACAATGATGAGTCAGAACCCTCTGGGGCAGTCGGACGAATGGTGGCAGGGGCGGGGCTTCAGGATGGGGACCATGTGGCCGGCCTCCCGGCTCCCCGACTCGCCCGTGGAGCCATCTGACTGTATTGCCCTTGATTACCCAACGCCACTGCTCCTCGGGCCACCCCCTCTGCGAGGCGCTCCTCCTGGTCCTAGGTCGGTGTTGGGACTCTGATACCTGCCACAGCGTGTGCTTCCCAAGGGGTGGGCGTGGCCTCCTGGCAGGGGGGCTTACTACACATTTACACCGCTTGGGCTATTTGTTTAACCTCTATGATTCAGTTTACCTGTTTCTAGTAACCCCCCCTCCCCCAAAGTGGCCGATCTGCTTCTGACAAACACCCCCTGGAGCCATCAGCCAGAGTGGGGTCACAGGCAGCTCACCAGCCCCACCACCTCCCTGTAGATGGCGACTGCTGCCTCTTCTGATTGCAGGTTGCTGTCAGTGGAATTGAGTGGGACTACATTGCCACTCAGGGACCCTTACAGAACACGTGTCAGGACTTCTGGCAGATGGTGTGGGAACAGGGAATTGCCGTTATCGCGATGGTGACGGCAGAAGAGGTGAGCTTTCTGCCTCGGAGCGCCCCATGTTCACCGTGGGGCCTCCTGCCCTGAGAGGGGAAGGCAGGGAGGGTGGCATTCCTGGGCCTGAGACGTGCTGTGTCTCTTTGTGCTTTAAAGGAGGGTGGAAGAGAGAAGAGCTTCCGGTATTGGCCGAGACTCGGCTCTAGGCACAACACCGTCACCTATGGAAGGTTTAAGATCACCACGCGCTTCCGCACCGATTCCGGCTGCTATGCCACCACAGGCTTGAAGCTGAAGCACCTTCTCACGGGCCAGGAGAGGACAGTCTGGCATCTCCAGTACACAGACTGGCCGGAGCATGGCTACCCAGAGGACACCAAGGGGTTTCTGTGTCAGTGTCGCAGCTGCCGGGGGAAGGCATGGCGGGGGTGGGGGGGCAGCCCGGGGTGGTGGTGGAAGCTTCTGGAACAGGATCCTCTGTGCTGTCAGGTACAAGCTTTGGCCTTTACTTTGAAATGTGCATCGGTGGGGAGCGGGGTGGGGGGTATGAGGGAGGAACCCTGGCACAGTGGTTACAAGTTGGGCTGCTAACTGCAAGGTCAGCAGTTCAAAACCACCAGCTGCTCCTCGGAAGAAAGAGGGGGCTTTTTACTCCCTAAAGAGTTACAGTCTTGGAAACTCACAGGGGCAGTTCTGCCCGGTCCTATAGGGCAGTGAGTTACGGTTTTTTGGTGTTGTGTAGGTAGACTTTGTCAGACTCAGTCTGCGGCCTATCTCCTGCTGCCGATGGGTGGAGGAGCTGAGTCAGTCCGGGACTCGCTCAGGGTTGTACACCAACTGCTGACTGGGCTTGACTGAGGGGTCCACTTAGCTTGCTCTTGGGGGTCTTCTCGTCACTGGAGATCCTTTAAAACCCCAGTTTTCCTTTTATAGGCTATGCCTTAGCACCCCCAACCCATGCTTTCCACAATGTACTGGTTTCCACAGCCTACCTTGAAGAGATCCAGTCGGTTCGACGCCATACCAACAGCACCAGTGAACCTAAGAGCCCCAGCCCACCGTTACTGGTGCACTGCAGCGCCGGCGTTGGGAGGACCGGCGTGGTGATTTTGTCCGAGATCATGATTGCCTGCCTGGAGCACAATGAGGTGAGGTGATGCTGCCTCTTAGGTCCCGCCGTGCCCTTTGCAGGTGGCGGCAGAGTGCGGGCAGGAACAAGCTGGGAGGGAGGGGGGCATTAGGGGCCTCAGAGTTCTTTGTGAGCAAGCTCCTTGGAGTTTGGAGGCCTCAGGTGTTAGCCCATGTGCACAAAGGCTGCATCTTCGGAGAGATTCCCAGGCCCTAGGGACGTAGCTGGTGGCCTGCGGGTAACTCGGTGGTCTGCAAATGGCAAGGTCAGCAGTTTGAAAGCACCAACTGCTCCTTGGGAGAAAGATGGGGCTTTCTACTCCTGGGAAGAGTTCCCGTCTCTGACACTCATGGGCCAGTTCTCCCCTGTCCTGCAGGGTCACTATGAGTCGGCGTCGGCTCGAGGGCAGTGAGTTTTGGGGTCTTTTTATGAGCATGCCAGAGGTTCTGAGAAACCTTGCAATCAAAGCTGCTGCTGCTGCTGCTGAGGGCCTGCGAGCCCTGGTCGTGCCGGGGGTCCAGATGCTAGGACACCGGTGCCCCGCCCCCCTTCTCTCTCAGGAGGCCGAGTGGCCCTCACCGCCTTTCTCTTGCTCTAGGTGCTGGATATCCCACGGATGCTGGGCATGCTGAGGCAGCAGCGGATGATGATGGTGCAGACCCTCTGCCAGTACACGTTTGTGTACCGAGTCCTCATTCAGTTTCTGAAGAGCTCCAGGCTCATCTAAGTTCCCAGGCTGCTTCTGGGGACCCGAGCGTGTGAAGGGCCTACAGCTGGGAGGGAAAGGAAAACCAGAGGCCTCTTCTGACTCAGACTTCCTCCTGGACATGCAGTGCCTGCCGAGCGATTCCTGGGACGTGGGCGGTTCAGTGTGAGGGGCAGGGCGCCCAGGGGGGTGTGTACAGCGCTCCCGGCTGAGGAAGGACGGGGTGGACCACGTGGTGTGCAGACGGTGCCCTGCTTCTCTGCGCTGTCAGGTCTGCCTGCGCTGTCAGGTCTGCCTGCACTCTGTGCGCACCTCTCGGAAGGAGGCCGTCTTTTCTAGCTGATTCTTTCTCTGGCTGAGACGATGCTGGGTGATCCTGGCAACCATCGAGGAGTTGTTTTTTAAAACTAGTTTTTGATCATGGGGTTTTCCAACTGAAATACTGAGAGGCTTTTTTTTTTTTTTTTAGGGAGGAATGGAATGTTCCAGGAGGATTCCATCCTCCCTGTTGGGCTTTATATTTGAAACCACACTATTATCTTTTGTCCTTTTTAAAAATGCCTTGAGTACTTATGGGCTAGTTCTCAAACCCCACACTATAAAGAGAATCTAAAGGTATTATTTTGAAACATAGGATTTTCATATTCAGAAAATTTTTTTATCCTAAAGATTTCTCTATATTTGTACTTTCTATATTTTCCACTCAAGAGCTCAACTCATGAAGATGCTGAAGTGAGTCAGTTAATTGTATGGGGAAGTCGGGAGTGAAGGCGCACTGTTTAAAATGCCGGAGAATAATCAATTGCTTTGTTTTTTTCCCCGTATTATCTGCACACCTAAATGAGTTTGACTTTATTCGTTGACAATGGAGTGGAGAAACAATTGCATATGATGGTTTTAAGCACTTTTTTTTGTTCAGAGCAATACATTTGAGCTTTTATACATGTGTCTCATAGCTGAGCAATATCAGTAATGACAGCGGACGTTGTTCGAGGTGCTGGGGAGAGCAGGGTTCCCAGGGAAGTGCAGCAGGAGCGCCTGAGTGCACATGCACACCGCTGCCTTTGTTGTTACAAACCCACAGTATTATCTGCACTCACCTGCTGGGTGTTAGGATGGGGTTGCTCGGGGGCATGGGCCCGCAGCCTCCATAGGAATGGACCCCAGCGCCTGTCAGTCTTGGGACTTTCTTTGTTTCCTTGGGATCCAAACCTTTGTTCTCCCCCCCCCACCCACCCCCACCCCGACAAGGCCAGGCTTACGTTATCATTCAGGGAAACCTTGAAGAGGTTGTACTTCTTTTGGGTTGAAAGAAGGGCAGCAGTAGTAACTGCTCTAGCTTCTGGTGTCCAAGCCACAGCCCGAACTGGTCAGGGCCTCCGAGGTGGCTGGGGTGTATTCAAGAGGGACTTGAACTTGCACGCCTTACTCCCTGAATGTCACGCAGAGGTCTTGAGTTGTCTTCAGCTGAACAGCTGGCTCAGCCATCCCACTGGGACACGGCCCAACGGACAGAGCCAGACGAAAGGGGTGGTGTTGCCTAGGCCCAGACTAAGATGCCCTGGGTCACAGGTGGCCAGAAGGCGGTAAGGACTCACTGGTACACTTGGCTGAGCGCCGTTTCTATTTTTGCTCCTCCCAGGCTGCTAGCCCACAATGGAAAGCTCCTGAAATGCAGAGGCCAGGGCAGCTTCTCCAAACTCCCACATCCTGGGGATGTTTTTGAGGTCAGGCTAACTCCTAAAATAGGCTCTTTCCTTCTTGTGACCACAGAGTGTGTGCTTAGTCCTGAGACAGCCATTTCTACTGTGTGTGTGTGCGGTACGCGCATTCATGCGTGCGAGCCAGCCCCCCTGCCCTCATACCCCCATGCCCCATTACTCTGAAACCAACCACTACAGAGAACAGAAGACAGTGAAGATTAAAAGTGGGCACACATTCCACTTAAGAGTAAAATCTCCTTTTAAGCAATGATTCTCAACCTGGGGGCTTGCGACCCCTTTGGGGGTAGAACAGTACTTTCACAGGGGTCCACCTAAGACCGTATTTCCGATGGTCTTAGGAAGTGGGATACCGCTATGCTCCTCTATCCATCTCCAGGCGGTCCACCCACATGCAGATACGCCCACATACGGGGTCACCACAACATGAGGAACTGTATTGAAGAGTCGCGGCATTAGGAAGGTTGAGAACCACTGATTTAAGATCTCAAGTGTTTTTGCTTTTTTTTAAAGTCCCGTTTAAGGGGGGAAAACATTAAGGATTGGCAATATTCAGAAAGAGCCCCTGAGAAGAATAGAGTACGGGTTTGTACGGTAACATCGCCCACCTCCGGACCGTCATATAAAGGGCAAGGATGTGTCTAAACGGTTTTTCTTTCCAATGGTACGTGCTTTCCAGAACTGTGTTACTGTCAGGGTTAAACATTTGAAGTGCCCCATTGACAAGAGCATATTGTAAAATCAAAGTCTAATTAAAGAGTAATATATGGTATATTTGTGTTCTGTTGTAGTGATTTGATTCTGAATAAATTAAGAGGGCAGTGACATTTGTCACTCTTGAAGTGTGGCGTGAGACATAGCTCTTGAGAGCCACCTATATATATTTTTCCTGTTGAATTTTACACCTTCTAATTCCAACTAGTATGAAGAGCCTTCCTGAGTAGAAAAAACTGACCGTGCTTTGGGAAGCGCGGGCTCCCCCGCCTGACGTGAGGTCTCAACGTGCATGGCGCTCATTTACCAGTGCCCGTTAGCTCCTCCGTGTTACTAAATTTATGTGAAAATGCCCAACAGGTACATGTTCACACTAAGGAGATGACAGCGTTTTCCACCGCTTCCTCTGGGTCCTGGTCTCCCTGACTAGTGGGAGCTTTTGCTCAGTGTAGAATCTCACCTGGACTGTTCATTGCCATTGCTATTATTTTCTTCTGGAACAGACTGCCAGGCATCCAGAAAGCCTTAGCACTTCGGCCTCTTACCACCCCTGGACAGGATGAAAAGAAGCTGGACCTGCCCTTTCTTACAAGCTTCTAGAAAGAGCCACGCACAGCAAGAGGGCAGTGGCGGGCACTGTGCCCCTGGCGAGACTGCTTTCTCGGAGGCGCCCCTCTTCAGAAAAGAACAGTCTGTTCAGAGGACGGCTGAGTGGTTATGCAAGGTGGTCAGCGGTTCGAAGCCACTCCTCAGGAGAAAGACGGGGCTTTCTGCCCATAAAGAGCACAGCCTTGGGAACTCACAGGGGACAGTCCTGCCCGGTCCCCTAGGGTCACGTTAAGTCACCGGCATTGAGTTTGTGTGTATATGCGCAAATTACCCTGATGTTTGCATGACCAAATGAAACAAGGGTATTTTTGTTTCCTTACAATTTAAAATATTGCACATCAGGTGGAGGAGTTTACAATATTCAATAGTTTAAACTACGAATCACGCCCCCACCAGCGCTCCCGTTTGGGGCTTCCATTCCGCCCGAGCCTGCACGCCGGAGGGAGGTCCCGGCCCTGGCTTCGTGCCCCCACCCCACCGGCTCCAAAATTGGTTCCCTTTGGTAGGAACACACATTTAAATTGAGACTTTGTCACCAACGAGATTTCTTGTGGAACAAACGAAAAATATCCCTTTCTAGTTTAAAGTGGTTTTGTTTTACATGCCGACCTGGAGTTTCTCATACTCCTCTGACTAAGGCTCCTTTTACCTTGCAGCGGTGCTGTTGCCTGTGCCCTGCCACGAAAGGAGAGCGTCCAGTCACTCCTCTGCATGTGTGGAGGGTGGGTGGGTGGGGGGGAGGCAGGAGGGTTTTAGAGAAAGGTGGACAAGGTCCTTGGGTGGTTAAAACGGCCTCGTTTTAGGCCCAGGCAGCCCTGGGATATGTTCAGCTGCTTTATGGGCCCCTCTACTTGTCTTTCAATGGTATGCACATTTCCCCTCATGGTGAGACGATTGAACCCGCCCTCCTCACAACAGTCTTCATCCACCAATCCTCACTCACTGAAGGTGCAGCTTTTAAATCATGGAAAAGGCGTTGCAACCTTGGTTTGCACTAAAGGCTGAGGAAGAACCGGATGCACCTGACCTGACTGAAAAGATACACTTGGGAACGGATGGGGTTTGTGAGCTGGGGCCATGTGCAGGAAATTCACATATATTCTTTAAAGGCCTGGTTGTAAGCTGAGTTTGGGGGATAGAATAATATCTCCCCATGCAAACAAAACTAAATGGGCATTTGACTTATGGCTGTGTGCCAAGAAGTGTCAAACAGTGAAACAAGGGCCAACAAAGCTGTGGAAGTCTGAAACTCAGCTCACCCAGGCGTCTAAGACACAAAGGCCGGATTTACCCGGGACAGGAGGGAGGAAAGCAGGAAGGATGGAGAAAGGACACCCAGGGAGGGAGGGAGGGAGGATGGTGCATCTCAGGAGGAAATGCACGAGCTGAACAAAATGTATACACATTGTTGAATGGAAACTGATACTAGGTTCGGTGGACCTTTAATGAAGTCACAATAAAAAGGTGTTTTTTGTGTGTTTTTTTTAAAGTACAGGTGAATTGTGCCTTGGAAGCAAGGCTGGGGAAACTGTTTCACAAACAAACAAACAAACAAACCTGTGGGAAAATTCCATTTGATTCACTATTTCTGTGAAGAGACAGGGTTTTGTCCTCCCCATGCCTTCACAGCCCCCTAGGGGAGGCTGGAAGGGAGTCAGGCGAGGATGGGGCACCCAGGAAGACCCGTCTGAACTGGGCATGCTCCAAACCAGGTGGGCGGTACACCTGGGTGGCCCAAAGGAGGGTCAGGCTCCCCTCCCAGGTGGGCTTAATTCAGCCAATGGTGTCAACCAATGCCTTCAAGCACACCTCCCAGCCAGAGTTTGAAATTCCCCGGGCAGCCAGCGGGGAAAGCCATCTCTTTCTCACCCTGCTCCTGGCCAGAGGCAGGTGGAGGTAGGAGACGCACACGCGCCCCCGGGGACCCCAGCCTCTCTGTTCACGTACTCGCTTCTTGCCCCCTCTCCTGGTGTGTGCAGGTGGGAGAGGGCCCCCTCTTCTCAGGGGCGCCTGTGCCGCGGGGCGGGCGCCCCGCAGTGGCACGAGGTGGTCCGTGTCCAGCTGTGAGCCCCAGCACGGCTTGGCACCCTTCCCTGAGAAAGCGTGTGTACTCTTGGGGCTGTAAACCCGGAAACTTGGCCCGTCCTTCATAAAAACCCACTGGGGTTACAAACCAGGCTCTGGGTGAATTCTTTCTCCCTCGAAGCCTAGAACCAAGGTGTGACCCACTCGAGAAACCTCACGTTTCCATAACATCTTGGGGGAGCCTCCTCGGACCGAACCAAATCTCCAGTCTGTGTGCCAAGAAAGCATCACCACACTTCTCCGCACGCCCCCTTCGCGCCCCCCAGGAGTGAGATCTGTGGTGTGTGTGTCCAGTTGGTCGGTGTTTCCAGGGAAAAGGCCACCTAGGGCACACAGTAGGATGTCAGAGACGCTGGCGTGGAGCATGTTGGGAGAGGGACGGGCTGGGTACGAGGAAGTGAGCAGGAGAATGGCCAGAAGGTTCCACTTGCATGTCTCCCCTCGGATGACCACTTGCAAGAAGTGGGAGGGGGCTGGGAGGGAAGGCATTGCGAGGGGTATGGTACCCAGCTGCGCCTCAGGGGGAAGACCAGACATTCCATTCCTGTCCACAGTTCCAGTCTCAGAAAGCCACCGGGACAGGTCTACTTTGTCCCCGAGTGGGTGGGACGGCCGTGAGTTCACCTAGTGCAGGGAAATGACCTGTTCCCAGGCTGCTGCTGCGGAGGCAGAGGGCTGGGTGCCGCAGCACAAAACGCGCCGTGGTTTGTCGGAACCCGTTGTTGTAACTACTGCGTCAGCCCGTTTTCTTGAGGGTCTACCTCTTACTGATGCTCCACTTCACGAAGCACGATGTCCTTCTCAGGGACTGGT